CCTTCTCATCTAAAATCCACAGGCAGGGAGAATTAAAAAAAAAAAAAAAAAAGATATGAGGTTAGCATTACATGCTCATATGTCACAAAGTCCATTTAGGTTCTGGTATATTGCAGGCAGCCCTGGAAACAATATCAAGAGGCACACATAAGCAATATAAACCATACTGGAATTGTGACCTAAAACAATTGCACAATGATATGGAAACCAAAAGAAAGAAAGCCGAAATCAGACCTTATCAGGAGCTGTTTAACAAATACCAACATGCAAAGGCCAAATTTCAAAGAGCCAAGCTGCAGGGTAAAAGGGTATGTTGGCAAGAAAAAACAAAGTCTCTAAACTTTGAAAGAGACACAAGAAAGATGTGAAGGCTGGTAAAACAAATTAATGACAAGAGTACAGGGATAAAGACAAATAAAACAATATATTCAGAAGGAGTCATCCTAAAAAAAAAATCAGGCGGCTGATCACTTTGCAGATTTATTTGCTGAAGACAGCAACATTGATGTCAGTCCACAGAAACAGCTAGAGGTTCGAGAGAAATGACAACACTTGAGACATAACGATATAATTTCCATTGTTTTGAAAGCACCACTTACGTTTAGCAAATTAGAGTTAGCAATATCAAAGCTGAAATTGGGAAAGTTGCCTGGAATTGACAGAATAACCAATGAAATGATCAAGAACCTAGTGGCAACAGCCAATACAAAACTGCTGCAGATTTTTAATAATTGTTGGGCCAGTTGCAATATTCCACAGATATGGAGAGAAGCAACCATGATACCTCTCCTAAAACCAGAAAAAGACAGTACCAATGCCTCCAGTTACAGACCAATCAGCCTTACCAGCTGTCTCTGTGAAACAATGGAAAACATTGTCAACCTTAGACTTCAGTGGTACATAGAAAGTGAAAACATCTTTACGCCGCAGTAGGTAAGCTTTAGACAATGCTATACTACAGAAGACCAGACAACTTACTTCTCTCAAGAAATTGAAGATGCCTTCCAAGAAAAGAAACTAGTGCTTGTAGCATGGATAGATTTGAAGAAAGCATCTGACAAGGTCTGGAAAGAAGGTCTCATAAAGAAACTGAGAAACTACAATGTGAACGGGAACATGTACAGATGAGTGAAACCATACTTGTATAACAAAAGAGCCCAAAAGGTTTGCTGCGCCATGTGTTTTCCAAGGTGGTGTCCTGTCCCCAACAATGTTTCTGGTCTATATCAACAGCCTAATTGCTGAACTACCCCATGGTATTAAGCTGTGATGGATGCTGACGACTTGGTACTATGGTGCACACAAAAATATGCAACAGTGGCCAGTCGACTGCTACAAAGATCAATAGATGCAATGGCTGCATGGGCTGATAAATGGTGTGTCAGCATTAAAACATAGACAAGTGTGGAGACGGTGGTCGTTGCATTTTTGCTCCATTTGTAGACTGGAAGGATATAGTTTTGTCGCCCAGCTTCTGAGTTGAGTGCATGGCGTGACACTGTGAGCTATGTGTGTTTTTCGTTGGCACAGGAACAGAGCAAAATGGGGTGACCCGTTTGCTATGAAGCTGAAACTAGGATTACCAGAATACCAGACAAGTGTAGCACCACTCTCTTCACCCTCTAAAAAAAAATCAGACATCGTTCAGATAAATAGAATACCACTAAGAGAGGATAAGGAGCCCACATACCCCAGAGTCACCAGGGAAGGCTCAACCATGGGCCTAACAAACATCTAAGACCTGGAGCAGATGGCAACAAACCGCCAGACATGGAGAGTTATGATCTCTGCCCTATGCGCTACCCTCGGCTCAAGAGAAAAAATTAACTATATGCAGTACACCACTTCGTTTGTAATGTATATAATTAGCACAAAGTAGATAATTTATATTTTTTTTTCACATGGAAAGCACAGTTTAGTTTTCCTTTCTTTTCCATCATGTGCAATTGTTTCAATATCATGGACAGAATCCAGTCCAGCACCTTAGCCTCTCTAATCAGTGTTCATCTCAGGGTTTCTTTTTGATGTCTTCATTTCCTCAATCTATCCATTTAATGCCAGTTTGGTGATTTTCTGTTTGTTTCTCCTCATGGTGTGCCCAATATATTGTCATCTTCTTTTTCTTAACAAAACATACTTAACCCTTGACCCGTTAGGGATATGGAGGTATTTGATGGAAACACTAGCATATAAAACCCGCAATCTTTTTCTGTCTTCCACCTGACGAATATCTAATATTCCTTGAAGTAGTTTTTTAATCAAATCATGTATCACCACGTGCCCGAACCAAGCTAGCTTGCAACGTTTCACCACTGTCAAGAGAGGTTTCTGATGTCCTGCAAATTTGTACATTTTGTCTCTGACATATTTCTTTTTCTTTTGGCTGCTTAAAACAATTAAACAGTAGGCCAGGAATTTCTTTATCTTTCTTGAATTTATCCAAGTTAATTAAATAGTGAGTAGTAATAAAAGGTGAAGTCAATATAATATATTCAACAAACAGTCAAAAAGTTTACTCCATATGGAAAAAATTGACACTTAAAAGAATGCAACTGTATGTTTATAAGTACACAAATAATCCATATAAATATAAAAATTAGGAATAAAACCCTTGCATGTTAACATTTTATGGATCATTAGTAAAACCACTTTAAAATACATTTCACCATGTTTACCACATAAAAGACAGAGAACTCTGAATATAATAAAAAATGAAATAGAGTAACCATACTAACTCTTGCATGCTAGAAAAACATTTAAGTAAACGTTATACAATCTGCATATATAGAGATAAACAACATGATACCCAGACACCTTGTATAATGAATAAAATAACACTTGTATAATTACAAAAATAATTTAAGGCAATTTCATAGGAATGTTAATATACATATACTGTATACAGTTTAAGAATAAATTCTTTTTGAAAAGTACAACAGAAGCCAATAAATGCAAGGCTTCTTCTTCTTCCGCCTTTCTATCCCCCAATGGAGCATAGGCCCTCAACCAACTCACGCCAAGTCGTTCTATCCTTCGCCGTTGCATAGAGCTCTCCCCATGTCCAAATGCATGGCTTCGAAAACAATAATTAAATAACATCTCTAAAAGTTACATAACATAACCCGTGAAGGTGTACTGATGGAAGCACTAGCACATAAAACCCCTCCATCTTTCTCTGTCTTCGGTTTGATGAGTAAGTGTATCATACCTTAGTTCTTACCATTTCCTGATGTTGTCATTCCAGGTTCTTCTTTGCCCTTCTCTTCTTCGACTACCCCCCGAATGTTCCTTGAAACACAGAAAGTTAAATCTCACTCAAGAATTCCGTAGTTTTTATAGTTGAATGCATAATTTTATTTAGCCATCACTGGCCAAGAGAGAGAGAGAGAGAGAGAGAGAGAGAGAGAGAGAGAGAGAGAGAGAGAGAGAGAGAGAGAGAGAGAGAGAGAGAGAGAGAGAGAGAGAGAGAGAGAGAGAGAGAGAGAGAGAGAGAGAGAGAGAGAGAGAGAGAGAGAGAATGTTGGAATGTTTGGCACCAAAGCTTGGAAGAACATATAAATGACAGTACCTGAGACAGAAGGATGTGGGCAAACAGATGACCAACAACGCAGGATATAGGCTACAAGAAGAATATAATTTTATTTTAGTCATCACTGACTTTAATATCATGAATAATGCATCCAAACAAATTTGCTAAAAGTATTTTCATGTCCATATTATGGTTGGCAAAATCTGAAAACAAAAGGAAACTGGCTCTTAACTAATTCAGTATTAATTAACGTACCATGCATTTAAAGATTATTTTTAGTATATTGGAATTGTAAGTTCTCTGTAGTCACTCCAAGTGTTATAATTCACAATAACTTCTTATGTCTCATTTGTTACTTAAATCATGTATGCTCATAATGTTGTTATCTGACATACTTTACATTCAAACATTTATTAGTTTTATAGCAGGGTTGGGCAATGTATGGCCAGTGGGCCAAAAGCAATTTTTGCTGGCTTCAAGGCTGGTGTCAAATTACTGTACAACTTGGCCCTTGAGCTCAGAAAATATAAAGTAAAACACAAAAACATACATTTGAATGCAGAAAGAAAAAATCCATATCTGTCTGTCCATTTCTTACTTCCTCTATATCTCACTATTTATTATTCCAACTTTCCCTCAATAATATAAATTCAGCAAATAGCCAGCTTGGACAGACACAATTTGGGATATATAGAAGGGCTTTAAAGTGTCTGGCCATAGGTGTAGTGAGGAATTATAATCTTATATTATCCCACACAAATATTGTGTTATGAGGAAATGGTGTTGAATTTATAATGAACTGTTTTTCTAAACAGCCCGTGACCAGGTTGGTAATTCTAAACTCCTTGGTTTATAGCAACATCAGCACAGGAAAGAATAAATTAAAATAACACTGCCTGGGACTTAAAGAGTTCAACAGTATCATATGTCTCTGAAACTGAAATGCATTACGCATATTAAATTTTAGTGTTTTAGAAGGTTCAGTAATGGAAAATGTGGCTACTTGATAAAAAGACAGAGAACTACCAAGGTGATGGTGGACAGAGGACATTAAGAACATTGTGGGCATCATCAGCAAACAGCAAGTCCTTTACAGAGGTCAGTCTCTCCCTGAAACTGACCCTCCATGATAGTTCTCTCCAGGCCACCATGACGTTTAAATATGGCCCCCCCAAAAAAAAAACCTCAGCTTCTCGGACAAGATGCTGTTTTTAGCCAGTTGTCCCTGAAGCTCAGATCATGTAGATAACTACTGTGAATCTTGGGCAAAGAAATGCAAAAGAACCAGCAAAGGGACTGAGTCTTTAAAGTAGTTTCTGATGACAGAGATTCTGTATGAAGAGATAAAGTATCTTTCTAGTAGGTTATGATGAATGTGATGTTTCATCTAAAGATAATCTAGCTGGTTTTATGAGAGTGAAGTTTGTCAAATATTTACTATAAGATGACAATTTTAAATGATTCTACAAAATCACAATTCCTCTTTCTTACTCTTTCCCATTGAAACAACAGCATGTTCCCTCAGAAATGACTCAACATCATCAGCTGGTCTTGCACCCTCGAACTTAACAGGTGAATCTTTGTTAGCAGCAGTAGCAAAATAAACAGTGGGGTAATTAGAGGCAGTGTAGTTATCTGGCAAATCGTTGGCTGTGGCATCAATCTTGGCTAGGATTAAGTTACTGTCTGACAGTTTCTTGGCGAGGATCTCTAGTGTGGATTCTAGCTGCAGGCACGGGGCACACCAGGGAGAGTACAGTTCTATTAAAACATCTTTGCTGGGATCTTTGACAATCTGGTCAAATGTCTCCCCAACAACAACAGTTATTGGCCCTGTCTGCTTCGCAGGTGGTCGCTGAGACTTCACAAAAGGCGTGAGCTTTCCTGTAAGTATGAAATAATTCAATTAGAGTATTCAACAGTCAGCAGCTTAGTGAGAAAGCTTTCCTCAAATTATATAAGCACATGGACCTCTGCATTCATAGCAACTGGATTCGGCCTCTGACAGATCCTATCAAGCGTGACAACACAGAAAAAGCTGCAGTTGAGCACCAGGGGCACAGGTATCCATTCTTCGCCGAGGTTGATGTCTGTAAGACTGCAGACCTGTATGATATAGTCCTCTGCCATACCGAGCCCTGATTTGCTCCCTTTTAGCCTTTTGCCCTTTTTCCTCAAGAGAACATTGTGCAGAACATATTTTCAGGTATGCACAAGTCCTCAAGATCTTTATCCTATGGTGCAATGTTGGAAAGTCAAGAAGAAATATATCATTGCTACACAAGAGCTGTCTTTAACACTTTATAACAACTGCTGAAATGCTGCTATACTACTTATGGGAATGGCTTATATCAATATTGCAACAACTAGATAAATAAAATTAGGTATAGCAATGGGTCGTTTTGTTTTGTTTATTTTGCTTTACATTTTCATCTGTAACTAGGGATGCCACCGCGGCCGACAAAAACAGCCCAAATTGACCGCTATTGAGAAATTATTTTTCCGTGCTCTTTACGTGAAAGATCAAATCAGAACAATTATTAGGAGTTATTGGAGACCTGACATGGTTTTGACATGCATACGATAAATCAATTTTGTATGCAGCACGCAGTGAATTAACGGTAAGTAAGTTCGTAAATATCTTCTTAATTAGCCAGATTAAGACAATTTTTGGTTTATTCTTGAATTCAGTGTTAATTTTTATTTAAATATAGGAAATTTCACAAAGATTGCTGAGCGGAAATGTTAAAAATATTATTTTAGTGGCATCACTGTTTTTGCTTTAAATCAAAAATGTTTGCACTAGAAGACCGTTTGTCCCGCTTCATAATTAACTTAAAATAATTATTAAGGTTATTTTAATCATTTTTTAAAAATCCACTTTATAGCAATTTTTCATGCATCTATCATTATTTAGAGCTCTTCGTATTTTCTGTTGGAGATATTTTTCCTGATCGTCCCTAAATCCCAATAATTAATTTTGGCCATCATTGCGCATTTTCTAAGATGATCCTTTAGTAATTAACTTCAGATACTTAGTAAATTAATAATGTTAAAAGAGCTACTTTTTAAACATCTACAACTCTTGTAGCATTTTTTAAATGCGTCTGTTATTATTTAGAATCCATGGAATTTTCTGTCGGAATTGGTAAATCTAAGTGGTCGAGAAACAACAGCAGCGCTGACCGCGTTCCCGTTCATCAGGCCTGCCAGTACTTGGGCCTTCCCCCAAGAACTGGGTTTTTATACGAAATCTTGGGTTAAGATTTTGCAATCTTTTTTTTTTAATATTATATATATATATATATATATATATATATATATATATATATATATATATATATATATATATATATATATATATATATATATATATATATATATATATCCTTATATAAAGTGGGTAACAGTTTCATTTCGTAACTATAAAATATGTACTATTTATCAATTTTAGGTTTTTTGTTTGTTTGCTTATATATTGCTTAGGTTTTTTGTCAGCTTAGCTTTGGGTTTTGACAAAAATCCCATTGGCAACCCTCCCATGCTTGGCTGTCCGTGTGTGGCTGCTATAGATCCATTTCTTACATTCAATGCTGGGTGCACATGGGAGCCAAGGTCATTTTCGAAAGAAAAGAAAATCCAGCCTGTTAACACTGTCACTGCCCCATTATGAAAACAGGCCGTGTACTACCAGTCGGCTCATGTTTTCTTCTACCATACTGAATGGAGAGTTGGGGGAGGGGGGAGTAGAAGATTGAGAGAAAGTTGAGAAAGAGGGGGAGCAGGAGAAGGAGAAAGGAAAAAAAAAAAAAAAGAAAGAGACTAAGAAAAGAAAGTCAGCACTGAGACATGGGTATAAAGAAAGGAAAGGAAAAAAAAAAAGAAAGAAGAGAAGAGATAAAGGGGGAAGAAGGTAGCAGGAAGGGGGTGCGGCCACCACGGTATCATCACTGTGGAGGGGGGTGCAACCACCCCAGATGTCATTACTGTGTGGAGATATGACCACTCCGGGTGACATCGCTGTTTGGGGGGGGCGGGGGGGGGGGGGGGGGGGGGGGGGGTGGGTGGGTGGTGTGGGGGGGGGGGGGGGGGGGGGGGGGGTGGGGGGTGGGTGGGGGGGGGGGGGGGGGGGGGGGGGGGGGGGGGGGGGGGGGGGGGGGGGGGGGGGGGGGGGGGGGGGGGTTGAGGTATATGTTAATTAGGTCACATCAACTCAAACTTATATAAACTGTTCATCTTATCAAGACACACAATATGATGTGCATCTTGCCAGGCTCATTGGCAGACAACCGTAAATATATAAGGTTTTTGCTGGGAAAAAAAGGCAGTAGGCAGCCGTTTTTATATGTTAATTAAGTCACGTCAACTGACATTGGCACATTTATATGATCTTTATGTTCGCCTTGCCGGGACATACAATATGATATGTATTAAGCCAGGCTCGTTGGCAGACAAATGTAAATGTATAAGATTTTTAATGAAAAATAATCAGCCAGCGGCCATTTTCATATGTTAAATAGGCGCATATTGTAGTGTATGTATTTGAGACATGCATAAACAGTTAGGTTTCACTGTCCCGATTCCAGCAATATATGGTTGCTAAGAGATTCGTTCAGAAAAAAACAATTATGGCTGTAAAATGGAAACATTGAGTTATTTCATCTTACTGGGCCGAAGCCTGGAATCCATGTTTTGTCCATTTCCACTGTAATATGTCTGTGGTGGTATCTGCCACTAAAATGTGAATATGTTCGCTTAGAATCGACTTACAGGCTTAAATGAGGTACCATTGGATCTGTAATTTTAATCTATATCTAGCTGTCATGGTTTCGTAAGTAAAAACCAAAATATAAAACTTCACTAGCATTACTAATAAAATATAATAATAAATTGTTTCAGCTCACCAATTAATGCAACAAATAGACTTGTAAAACATAATAAATGATTTCAACTTAAAAGAAACGAAGGACTAATTTTCAAGGACTATTTTGTTTCATTATTTAATTATACATGTTTGTATTTTACAAATATTTAATAATAATTAACATTACCATTTATTTAAAGCATTACTGCCAATAATAATATTTAATTATATTTATTTACAGATTCATTACTTTATAATTCAGAACATCCGATGTGTTTTAAATAATGAATGAAATCAATGTATCTGGCTGAAGATCGTAACTTAGGCTTGTTTTTGGGGTAGGGCTTATATAACATACCCAGAAAAACCATACTAGGGCTTACTTTCAGGTTAGGTCTTTTTTGGATAATAACATGGTAGTTTTCAATTCCTCAGCATCACAATAATCTACAGATCTAAGGAAAGTAAACATACACAAACCAACAATCTAGCAACCAACCTTGTTTGTATCTGTTCAAGAACCCCACAATGTGTTCAACATCAAACTCCTCCATTGGCTCCATGGCATACTTTTTCCCATCTGTACCATAGAGACCAATGTTCATGGCCTCACCAGATTCATCCAAGCCAAACTGCTGCAGGACAGTGAATTCCTCTTCATCATCAACAATAGCAAATGTAATGTCTGGGAACTGGTGTGCCACATCTGCGATCTTGTGTCTCCAGAACTGTGTTGCTAAAATTGTCAGATAAAATTATGAAAATGTCATTACTGTTCTGGTTTTTGATGACTTAACCTTATATTTGATATCTAATCAATGTTCCTTCTACAGCCCATATGTTATCATGCTTCACAGTTCTTCCAATTCCTGTTTCCCCAGCCATTTCAAGTCACCAGATATTCAATCCTATTTCAAGGCAGCACCCCCCCCCCCCCCCCCCCCCCCCAAAAAAAAATACCATACAATTTCAAAGCAGTCAAACATATCAGCCTCCTTTAAAGTACTCAAACACACTTTCCTATTTCAAAGCACTCAAACATACCAGCATACTTCAAAACATCCAAATATCCATCCTATATCAAAGACCCAAGCACCATTTCATTTCTAAGCATCACAATGCACATATTTAAAAGTACTCACATATGTCATCAGATTTAAAAGCATCTAAACTTACCAACACTATTTTAAGTGCTCATAGATACTATATATTCTTCTTTTTCTGCCATTTATGCCCAAATGGAGCATAGGCCCTCAACCAACTTGGGTCAAGATGCTTATCCTTTGCTGTAGAATGCAGTTTTCTTCATAAAATTCCCATCTTTTTAAATGCACTGTCTAATTCCCTTCTCCATGTGTTTTTAGGACTGCGAATAAGACGAGGAAACAAATAGACTAAAAATACCAACAACAGATCATGCCGATGTCATGCTAGAGAAAAAAAAAACAATACAAGTAACAGACCATTTCACCTATCTGAGTGGCAATTTTGACTCACAAGAAGATAAAATGAAAGATTTATGATACACATTGGCAAAGCAACAACAGTCTTTAAAAGCCTCAACAAAATGTGGAGCTCCAAGTTATACTGCTTTAAGACCAAACAACAAATCTTCAATTCTAATGTCATTTCAGTTCTAATAAATGCCAGCGAAAGTTGGAGAACCACCAAAGAATGAAAGTTAAATGCATTTGAAAAATAAATGTCTGAGAAAAAACATAAATATAAAATGAGGAGATAGAGAAATGTCTGGAAAAATATCTGTATTGACTGCAATGAAAAAAAAGGTGGAGATATATTAGGCATACACTGAGATGAAATGAGCACAGAGTTAAAAAACAGGTACTGAAATGGGAAACAAACAGTCTAAGAAAAAAGAGGGCATTTAGGGGAGACATTAGGACGCACTATGACGCAAGGCTAAAAATTGCTGGGCTGAACTTCATGTCAGAAATTAAAAGCGTTGCATGCGATAGAGTGGAGGAATTGACTGCGAGCCCTATGTAATGTCTAACAGCACAAAAAAGATGATGATTTTGTATTTTCTATGTCTGCTTTTATCTCTATGCCCTGGTAGGTTCAAATGCAAAGACATTTCAGTTATACTGCTCTGAGGTTTTTACTATGTGTGTCACATCCAATGCCAACACCTCATGATTCACTTGAATTTGTTTAGTAGAATCTACTAGTACATATTACATTAGGGGTGGGGGGGGGGGAGGGGGGGTGGAAGGATTCAGGGAATCAAGGGTCTTTTCAAAGTAAAGAAAAAATGTATTTGATAAACTACAGATCAAGTTAAAGCTAAAGTCTAGAGGACTGACTTCGCTGCCCAGGGTGATCCCATATGGGTCAGTCTCTCTCTCTGCAGAATGGCTAGCTGTCTGCAGAGAGTATCACACAAAGTACAAACTCTGTAGCTCTAGCAATGATTCACTAATGAACTAACGATGCATCTGTGAAATGAACCCATGACCTTCAGAGCACGAGGCAAATGGCTTGATCAGAAAGAAGAAAAGATAAAGTAATTTAAAAACTATTTGAGAAAAATGAGGATATTTTAAAATACGGTGACTAATGAAAAATGTAAAACCATACAACACATACATGTACGCACACACACACAAATGAGTAACAGCAAACCATACCATCTTTGTGATCAAAGCTGAAGTCAACTGAATAGAAAACCAGGCACAGTGGTCTCTTTTTATCATAATGGTTAGTGAGTGGACGGAGATACTGACCCACCAATGGAAGATGGTGATCTCTTAAAAAGTCAAAGATATCATCTGAAGTTGTTTCATCCTAAGAAAGGAAAAAATATTTATACATGAAGTATTTGCAAATGACTGAGCAATTATAACAACACTCACTACATTTTATATAAAATCCAACTTCTCATTTTTAAATTGTCATGATTTCTGTGGAACTTATGGGTCAATAATAGAAAAAAAAAAAAGATATAGTTGATTCATTTTATCAGAATGAAATCATATGTAAAGACAGAATGTTTCAGAGGGCCTGCATTAAAAAGCAATTAAAATAAAAAAAGAATACTGGCATAACTACACGATATATACTTAACTTGACTTTTTGAGGATTTGAGTTCATGAGTTGTCAGGAATATCCAAGTTATTAGAATACGGTTAAAAACAAAAAAGCGACTGCCATGCAACATGTGAATCTTCACAAAGAGAACTAATTACTCCTATGTAAAGAATAGTCCAAATTATTTGGGTACATTAACAGAAAGGGTTAACTGGACTGCATCATGATGATGAAAAAGCTGCAGCGGAAGAGAGGCAGGAGGACAGTAAGGCAGATGTTGGACAGTTTAGCATCACGGCTTGCAGGAAGATTTGCTCAGCCCCTGTGACTTGAGAAAAGTTTTTCTGGCATTTATGGGTTTTTGATAACATGAAACCTTTGGCAGTGGATACTGAATGTATATAACAGCGTTAGTACTGGTTGCAACTGAACAGTGTGCACTATATTGTGCGAAGTAGGTGGGTTGGGGTTAAGATCAGTTCTAGATGTTTTGGGGTCATTAAAAGCATCAGAAAGCTGGTAAACCCAGTCTTACCACCCTCTAAAATGTTGGACTGTCCTTTGACGTCATCTGGGGTAGGATATTTATAAAGTACTGAAAACTGAATTTTCACAAATGTGATGTAATCGTTACCTCATATAATCTCACTCTGCTCCACAGGGCTATGTAAATAAAAACACGTTTATCATGGCCAAAGGGGAAGAAAGTAGTTGATTCTTTGCTCTGTTTGTACTTAGTGAATTAATCCCTAAATTTGAAGATAAAAATTTCGCACCAAAAAAAAAGTAACATGAATTATTTTAGTGATTTGACAGCCGCGATGCTGCAAGTGATATCACACCTGCTTGTCTGCTCTGTGGTCATAGGTTTATAGGTTTAACCCCTGGATTTGTATAAAAACTGACAAGACTTCTCTATACTTCTTCAAATGCTGATTTCATTGGCTTTACATACTAATAGGGTTAAGCGTAAAATAATGACTCTCACCTTGATTTCCATGGAATACCATTTGGGTTCATATTTAGTATGGAACCTTTCTCCTGTAAATATCACCACAGAGTTAGGGCTGATGTTGTAAGACTTTCGCAGATCCTCATTAAATGTGATCCCAAAGCTGAAGTCATTACGAATCTCAACAGCTGTAGAAAATCAGATTACCATAAGGGGTTTTGCAGAAAATACTGTCACTTTTTTGTTTATCAAATTACTTCTTCTTCTTTGCATTCACTATCTGTTAACTCTAGTGGAAAGTAAAAGTTGTTGTCAACTTCTTTGGTCTTGTTCCAAGACTTGAGTGCTGTTTGAGTTTTACAGATCTGGCTTATTTGTGTGCAACCCTTGGTTCCTTGCCTCTCAGAAACTTTAGTTTTGAAGGAAATGTTGACTCTTCATATGTTGGCCAGGGTCCCAGAGGCTCCTACAGGTATTAGCCAGATGAACTATGGTCATGGTAGACAACTACTTGTGGTTCAGCACCTCTGCATCCCCATTACATGACAAAACAAAAACACTGTTGCCACCTTTCCAGTACTAACGTGCATTAAGAAAAATCCATGATAAACATGTAATTTCAAGGCCACTGTTGTAATCACATATTGTGTTTCTTCTGAACTCTTTCAGTCCCAAGGAATGCATCATATGTTCACAGGTTCCTACCTAGAAGCCCATTGAACACAACATGCACCGATTTTACATCTCTCTTGACTACCCCTTGGGTTTCTGATGCTATACCCTCTGGGACTCAAAGGGTTAAATGCTTAGCTCTTGTCATTATTCTCCCCCTCACATGGTCAAGAAAACATTTCAAAGCCAAATCATGTCAAATCTGAAAAAAAAGTATGGGCATTTCTATGGAGATAATATGACAACAGGACAGCCAAAAAGAGCAACCAAGAGGTTTTAAAGGGGCGGGAGCCCGAAGACAACTAATCAGAGACATCAGAAGGAGACAGTCATCATTTTTCGGCCATGTTATGAGAAGAGGGAAAATAGAACATGTTGTGACCACTGTGGGAGGATTGATAGAGGAAGACAAGAGAAGATTCTTGACAGTCTTGCTGCATAGCATGGAGGTGTGTCAGTCAGCACACAAACTAATCCATGCTACAGGAGATCACAGATTGTGGAGAGGCATGATCGCCAACGCCAGTCGGCAAGGCACCTGATGATGATGGTAATACTCAGATTGAAAGACTTGAAATAGTGCAAAACAAAGCCACGAGCATCATTCTGGGGTGCGCAAGAGACACCTCTTGTGTAGCACTGAGATAGGTCCCTTCTTGAGTTCCCTACTATGAATTACAGGATCAAGATTTGGAGGGCTCACGTATACCCAAAGATAAGCTCTGGTCTGAAGCACCCTTTGCACCATATGCTGTTCAGGAAAAAGAGCAACAAACTAAAAAGGGGCAAATTGCGGCTAAATAGGGCAAAGGATTATATCAAGCAGGTCTGCATTCTTACAGACATCTACCCTAGTGAGGAATGGATATCAGTGCCTAAAGCGCTCAACTGCACCTTCTGCTGCATCTTCACGCTTGAAAGAAGTTGTCGGGAACAGAATCCTGTTGCTTTCAAAGCTGAGGACTGTGTGCTTATCAGTGACAAGTCAGATGAGACAGATGTACTGATCTACACAGACGGGTCTGTTATATGAGGACATAAAAGTGCATGGGCATTTACAGCTTGCTCTTCAGGCAGAACAGTCTAAGAAGCCAGCTGTGCCTTCTCTGTGACTTCCAGCAGCATGACGATGGATGTGATGGCGGTGACACAAGCTTTTATGAGGCTGGGATCACAGGACTATTACATCATGTGTGTGCTGAGTAATTCTATGAGCAAGATCCGGCAGGTCAAGGTGGGCTAATGACACAGACAGTGGATGGAGTCATTGCAAAAATCTTCTGTGTGTGCATTTACCTTTGTTTGTCCCAGGGTATGTTGTTGGCAATAAAAGAGCTGATAGATTGGCAGGTATGTCTGAGTAGAGCTGAAGCATATTTGATGGGAGAAAGAACTAGTCCCTGGAACAGAAGCAGGCTCTTCTCAATATTGGTAGGATGATAATCTCCATGTAATAAAGGTACATGCATTCTTACCCAAATCTTTGTAGATGTGAACTTTTGGATTCTCAGGAGAATCAAAGAACCCAACAACACTGATCTCATCTGGTACAAGCAAATTCCTTAACATCCTTGCATTCTTGATTTCTCTAGTGGCATCTCTTACTTGTCTTTTCATGCAGTACATTATGTCTGCAGAAACAAATTTGGCACACATTATTATTGAATTGAATAGACACACATATGACCTCTACAATGACATATTTTATTTTAAAAGTATCCAGAAACCATAAGTTGTAAACACTTTGGCTCAGTACTATGGATATCACAACCCTTCAGCCTTGATTCCATGAAAGATACTGGCAGAAGTGTGCCTTTTCTGCCTACCCCTGGATCATAAAGAGTTCATCACCCAGTCACTGTGCAGAGGATTTTAACCAACTGTGCTAGCGAGCCGGGCCTACAATGATTTAAAGATGTGTGCATGCAGGACATGAATGATACAGGTAATGAGACGGACTCATGGGAACAAAATGCCATGGATCGTGTTGCGTGCTGGGAGCACCTCTAGAAGAGAATGAGAAGGAAAGAAGAAATGATTGCAGAAAGGATGAGAGCTAAGCATCTTAAAAAAAACATGCTAAAGGCAAATGATGGCAACAATGGTCCTGAAATCCCATACTATAACTGTGGAAGACTTTTCTGAATGCGGGCAAGTCAAGCTGGTCCCACCCACAATTGCCATGGGCTGTGAGTCCCATGCCTCCTCATAGCACAATATAACAATGTCATCTGGAAAGACCAAGAGGTGCCAGCAACAAAAGACACATCTTCTTCTTAAAGCCCATGCTGTGTGGTGTCGGTAGTCATGTCTATACACAATCTTCTGTCTTGTGTACTCTCAATTAACTCTGATACAGATGATACTCCATGCCATGATGTAAAACTATCCAGCATCCTTTCTCTCAGTCTCCCTCTGCCTCTCCTCCCCTTCAACTTTCCTGCCGTCATGATGTACTCCAGTTTTCTCCTTCTCATCACATGACCAAATAATGTAGATTGTCTCTTCCTGATGTGGGCAATTAGTTCTTTTCATGAGTCACTTTCTTTCAAGACATCTTCATTTACTCTTTAGATCTGTCCAGGGTATTCTCATCATTCGTCTATAAAACCACATAAAGGCACATATTCAATACTATTTACAAACTATCAGTCCTTAACTCTTTCAGTCCTAAGCAGTTATTACTTTAACTCCTTCTAACTGGTACTTTCAACTAACAAATATTATGTTGAACAGTTTCCCCCTAAGAAGCCACAAAACTGACATTTCTGGTTGGAACAATTTCCCCATAAAGGCTACTTTCCCAGCTTGCAACAGAGACATGTTGACAAGATATCTAGCTAACAGAATTCAATGCATCTGCCCATTGTGCAAACATTCAGGAAAAGGATAATTAAACTTAATAAAAATAGCATCTGAAAGACACTAAAAAAAATTGGGGGGGGGGGGGGGGGGGAGGTGGGGGGGGGGGAGTGGGGGGGGGGGGGGGGGGGGGGGGGGGGGGGATTTTAAGAAAACTGTTTTATTTATAGAAATTTATGACACAATTGCTACAGCAAGTAAGTAAAGTAAAGGACCCTTTTCCAAGCCTTCTGGCGCATTGGCCATTCAGAGCTAGACCTTTATTTCACAGTCTAAATTGGTACTTCGTGGGTTACGTGGTCAGTCTCACGCCAGCCCCCTTTACTTCTCAGGATTGTACCTGGTACTCACTCAAGGTTGGGTTGACCTGGGAGCCAAGGTGATTTTTGAAAAAGTCCGGCTCAAGCAGGACCCAAACCACGACCTTCTGATCCGCAGGCAAGCATCTAGCCGCTACACCACAGCGACTCCAATCAAGTAAGTGTCATGCTATAATTAGTTTAGAGATCCCAAAAGATGTAAGCCAGTTGATTGTATGCTGCATTGTTTTTTTTAATTGACTGCTCCCTTTTTTTGTGTGGTGCTATGGACTGAAAAAATTAGAAGTATGGTAGTTTTGCTTTTTTTTTTTTAGATCATCAGGGTGAAAGCAACGCACTATATGTGGCTGGATATTATTCATGTCTACCAATCAAAGTTATACATGGTTTACATTTTATGGTTAATCAGGGAACCCTGATAATGTAAAGTCTCCCCTGTTATTTGAAGTTATGACTTCTGTCAAGCTGGTGTCTAGTTAAAAGTGAGAGGATGTGGCACGGACCTGCATGAGTGGTGATGACAATGCAAGTCATAATTAATAACACACCAGTTAAATAGGTTTATGTCAAGGATGAAAGAGTTAAAGTGGGTTAAAAAAGGTTAGGACGCATGTTAACGAAAGTGTATCAAGTAGTGACTTAACAAAAAAAATGGTGAGTTATGGGTGTGGAATGAGTTAAAATTTAACAGTGTGGGTTCTGAGACCCTGTTAGGGCGGGAAGGGGGAAGATCCCCCCTCCCAACCCCCCTTTCCCTGAAACAAGCATTTTGTACAAGGTGGTTAATCAGGGGTTTCTCCATCAATATCACAGTGCACCTGCTTAAGAGGCACATAAATAAAACCAGATCTGTAAAAGGGATATGCATGCAAAATTCAAGTTCTGGAATAAGACTAAAGCCTGGAAACAGATGAACAACCACAGCTTTCTGCCAGAGTTTACAGCTGTGAAAACTAAGAAGAAGCAGCAGAAGAATGAGTTGAACTCACAGGCAAAGGGAGACTAAAGATACAAAAATAAAACAAAACATGGTGAAGATGTTAAGATACAGAAATGAGTAATCTTCTTCTTCTTTGTTCACTGGCTGTAGGCTCCAGCTGAAAGTTCCAGGTTGTTCGTCCATTTGGACTGTGACTTTGCACCAGGGCCTGAGTTTTGCATGTACGCCTGTTTTACTGGCTTATTTGTATGCAGCTGGGTGTTTCTTGCCACTTGGGCAGATGTACTCTGACTTCGAAGGAAGACCCCAGTTAGTTGACTCCTACGACATGCTTGTTTGGGAGGCAGTGGGTCTATTCTTGTTTCCCCCCCCCCACCCCACAGGGAGCCCCAGAAACCCAAATGGGGAAGATGAGTTATAATAGAAAGAAATAAAGAAGTATAAGGGGGTAAAACCACAACACATATTGGGTTTTGGCCAACTGGCAGCCCTGATGAAAACTTAGTGGGTATGATTAAAAAAAAAAGATTTGACATATTATTAGAGGTGAATACAAACGGCTGATTTTTACACTGTAACCTCCTTAAAAACTTTACATTTATGTCATTTTTCGATCTGCGGCTGAGTCAACAAAACCTTATTTTCTTGGTCAAAGGGTAGAAAAGCAGTTATTTCTTTGCTCCATTTGTATTCAGTGATTATTTAACTTCACAGAAACAAAAATAATAACCTGTTGCAACGTAATGATTCTAAATATTTTTTTTTTTTTTAATTTTTAAAAATGTTTAATGACTTGAGGAGGGGGAGGAGGGCACGATGACATAGCTAGCAAGCTTGCCTGTCTGCTCAGTTGTTACAGGTTTCAACTCCCTAGATTTTTCTAAAAACAGTTTATTCTGCTTCTTCTTCCTCTAGTTTCTCAGGGTACAGTTTCAGAGAATTCAAAGAAAGTGTTTCTTTTTAAAAAATGTTTTTTTTTTCTAACAAGGATTGAGGGGCAAAAGGGCTAGGAGTTAAATCAGCCATGTTAGAAAAGGTGTTCTTTTAAATCATTGGACCTGTTCACATTTCCCCGCCCATCTACACACTTTTTCAGTCTGATCTAGGTCAGAGGGGTGTCATGTTGTACTGCTTTCTTCGAAAAGAGTCTCTTGCGTGACCTAGGTTGAGGTTGTGGGTACAGGGGTTTAAGTTAGGGCTGATTCTACATGTTCTGGGGTCGTTGAAAGCTATGTCGTCGTGTAGCTTAGAATATGCAATGTTGGCACTGATGTAATTGGATGGAAGACAACGTGGAATCTCTCCGACATAAAAGAGTCTGAGAAAGTATGAATTAAAGGTCAGGTAGTGTGTAGATGGGCCAGGAAACGTGAACAGGACCAGATCATTTATACTAATATTACTAACATCTTACCATATGCGGTGGTATAATCCTCTTTGAAATCAACAGCTCTGCCTTTCTTGAAAATTTTCAGTGTTGGATAAGCAGTAATGTTATATTTTGCAGCTAGCTCTGTTTCGACAGATGCATCGACTTTGCCTAATAGAATTGGTGGGCTGTCTTTTTTCAGTTCCTGTGCTGCCTGTTCATAAACTGGTGCAAGCTTCTTGCAAGGGTCACATCTGAAAGTAGAATTATCATTTAGAACAAATTAAAACCATAACGAGAGGTCAGCTTGTCATCAAACTGCAATAATGAAAGACCAAATCAGTTTTGTGGCTACAACGCCTTTATTAGTATATAAAAGTACAGACAATAAAAACACTATGCAAAAAGACAACATATAATTAATGAACCTAGGGGTACACTAACTGTTACGCTCGCTGCGGATCAGAAGGTTGTGGGTACCCTCCCTGGCGAAGCCGGACTTTTAAAAAAAAATGACCTTAGCTCCCAGGTCAACCCAGCCTTGAGTGGGTACCGGGTGGAGTCCCAAGAAGTAAAGGCGGCCGGCGTGATTCTGACCACTTTGCCCATCTTTTGCCGATTGGTCTATAAAATATAGGTCTTGCCCTATATGTCTAAACGCATGGAAAATGGTACTTCGCTTTTTATTTTTTACACTAACTGTTGAGATATCCACGCACAGGAAACACAAACAAACAACTAATGTGCAGCCTTACTGAGTCACAGAGAGACAACATACTGCTAATAATTTAGGACAATTAAACACTTGATATATTCACTGGTGGCTCTGTCTATGTGGTGAAGTAGCTGAGTCATTTCCTTGCTCCCGAAAATTTTGGGTTTGATTTTCAAAGGCCATCTTTTGGTTTGACGGTGAAGATGTTACAGAAACCCATTTGGGTTGCTACCGGAACTGTGGAGGTTTGTACTTTACGCAATGCTCGGTGAGCAAACAGCCACTCTAAGGAGAGAATGTGAACCATATGGGATAAAAATCTGTAACAATTCTAAAGTCAAATGCTCTAATTGTGGAAGACTTTTCTCAACACTGACAGGTCTTGCTAGTCACATTATCACCATAGGATATCATTTCCATGCTTCCTCATAAGACAATAAAATACTATCCTCTGGAAAGATGTTAAAGTGAATAGAAAAAGGCACCAACAATTTATACTGACAGGGATTATTACTTTAGTGTATAAAACTGTACAAGCATAAGACTTTCAGCATTGACAATTTCATCAAAGTTCTCTCTGGTTAAGGTTATAGCAACTTCAGGCTCTGGTTCCCAATCAGGATGGGCTATCTTCTTCATGTATGCAACAATATCTGAAACACACATAAGTAAATAATGATTAATAAAAACTTCTGAATAATATATATATTTCCCCCCCCCCCCCCATATATTCCTCAATGGTGTGTAGGTCTCCAATCAATTCCTAGTAACTCATATCTTCTGATTTAACAAGTAGCTCACTCCATGTCTCTACGCCATCATTTTTCACTTCACCTTCTAATTCCATCTGCATTCGCTTTCGTTCTGCCTTACTCTACTGACCCTGTACAAGAACATTCTAATCATACTGTTGTTAGATTTTATCAGTGTTTGCCCCATCTGTGAATGCCTTTTCACTGAAACATGCAGGCAAAAAGACAGGGGGACTCCAGGCAAAGTGATCAATCACGTCGTTTGCCTTGTACCCTGAAGGTCATGATTTCGTTTCATGACTGTGTCATTCGGTTCATGAGAGTAATTTTTACGGAGATCCAGGGATCGTTGCCAGGGCTACCAAGTTCCTGCTTAGTGCGACCGTTTCAGCAGGTGGCCAGTCATTCTACAAACAGAGAGACATATGGGAAAAAACCTGGTGCAGTGACGTCAATCCTCGCAACTTTAACTTTACATACAAATGGACACAAGAAATTGAGTCAGAATAATATTTTAATAATCTGAGTAGGTCATGAAGTGAACTGCAGGAGATAGTAAATCATACTCTATGACTTGGCATGGATTGATGTAAGGCCGCCTACACCCCAACAGATGGGAGGAGAGGAGGGCTAGATGAAGAGAGTAAAATGTTTGGCAACTTCTTAATTCCTAACAGAAAAACAAAATCCTCTCTGATAGGCTCTTGTAATGGTATAACATGCAATGAAAGCTCTTAAAGCTAATATGAAAAAGATGATGATGAAAAAATCAATAACACAACAGAGAGTAGAAAAAACAACACATAACGAAAATATTAAAGGCTTACGCTCAGTCTGTCCAAATCCATCATACACATAATGTTTCCCATTTTTAAAAAATCTCAGAGTTGGGTGGCCAACAATTTCAAATCTGAGAGAAAGAATAATAATGCATTTTACCTGTTATAGACTGATTAAAATTTGCATCTCACTAACGAATGGGGGGGGGGGGCATTTGTGTCTTCTTCTGTGCCCCCCCTCCCCCCAACTGCACACTGTTTTGTGATTCACAGCTAGGCTTCAATATCTGTGTCTTTGGCCAAACACATTCAATTTCAGCAAACCTTTTATCAGTCATCTTTCATGACATGCTTGCCAAGGGGCAGTGGGTCCATTCTCTCTGGGGGTTTTTTCCTACCAAAAACTGGGCCCTGTGATCCACATGGGGAGACTTTCTGCCTAATCTCAGGTATTTCCATAAATATATATCAGAAATCATAGGGGTCATATATACATTAACTCTTCCAATCACAGACAGTTAATAACTAATTTCTATCCCAAAGCGGGAGTATTTTACAGCATATGTCTTAAAGTCTGTAGGGGTGGAAATAATGCAACTATGGAAAGTATCAAATGAGAAAAAAATGAGTTGAAAGTAACAGAATAACAGAACAGAAAAAAGTTAAGAAATGTATTCCAGAATAATTAGAGGAAATAATAAACATAAGGTGAGTGGCCTGAAATGGGAGACAAATCATCATCACGCTCTTGTGTCTCCATAGATCCCAATCCCTGGTTGCCTGGAACAGCTCTCTTGATGATATCCCGCCATGCCATCGTTTCAGCCCATCCAGCATCATCTCTCTTGGTCTGCCTCTACCCCTCTTTCCACTGATCTTTCCAGTTGTCCCGATGTTCTATAATGTGTCTCAGTGTTTGTTTCTTTCTTATGGGAAACAAACAGACTGAGGAAAAAAAGACTTTCAAGAGAAATTCGTAAACAGACGTAGCTGAGATAGGCCAAATGTGCTGGACCGAATTCCACGTTTGTACAGGAAAGAACAGAATGGAGGACTAGACTGCGAGGTTAATGTAACAATGAACGGCATTACAGAATGATGATGATGAGTTGCTCCGTACGAAAAGAGTTAAAGAATATTAACTTATTATTATTTCTTAGAATATAAACATTTTAGACAATTTTTATCTCATCAAAATACAAACCTGGTAGTGAGCTTACTACAGGAAAACAGAGCATAAATATCATAGAAACATGTCACTGCATAAATGTTTCCTGTACTTAGATCTGATCTGAATATCAAGAAACCAGACTGAAGGGATTTAGGAGTAAAATGGATTTATGGCTAAAAATAGAAGATGATTGACATACAAGTTAGAAATTTCATTACGGCCCTAGAATATGTTAATTTACAGAAGTACAGGGTCTCCTTGACTTACAGCAGAGTTCTGTTCGAGAAACTAACAAACGCATGTAAAGCTGCTTTGTTCTGAATGTTATAACTAGAAATGCAGTTTCTAGCATGAACACCTGCTACCTAAGAGCATATATTAGAAGGTTCAAAACTTTTTCAAAGTGCAAATGTTAATCAGATCACCAGGTCAATCAAAAAGCCTTAAAAGAGGTACCAGGAAATGCCCAGAAAGTTAAGACTAACAGAATATAAGGTCAGCACTGTATGCCCCGTACACCGAAGGGCATAGAAGGGGATCCGTCTTTTTTACTTTATTTATTGATAATGAACAAAAATATTACAAAATGTTAAGATTTAACTATGTAAATAAAAAGTACATATTGCTATCAGTTTCGAACTGTGCTGGGAATGCAGTTAATAACGAATTTCAACAGGCACTGAAATGGGAAGCAAACAGACTGCGGGCCTTAGGATGACCAAGAGAAATCATAAAACGAGTGCTGTTGAAAGAGATTAAACGTGCTGGCCTAGATTTTATTCATGATATTAAAAGGACTGCATAGGACAGAAAAGAATTAAGGCCTAAATTGTGAGCCCTAAATTACATACAATGGCACAACAGGGTGACGAATGAAACTGAAAACAAAAGTACCTTTCAGCAAGATCAGTGTGAACGGTGGTATCAACTCTGGCCAGTGCAACCGGGAGATCATTCTCCACAAGCTCCTTAGCAGCTGCAGCAAACATTGGTGCCAGGGTTTTACATATTTCACAGCTAAATGATATTCCAATTTAAACAATTATCATTTGCAATAAAAGCATCAAATCAAGTAGTTCAGCACAGTGTAAAAAAAAAAAATGCAGTAACATTTTAAATTTATGCAACATCCACAGATTGAGAGAGCCATCATGATGTAGTAGCTAGACGCTCACCTCAGGCTTGAAGGTCATGGGCTCAAATCCACATCAAACCAGATAAAATAAAAATAAAAATTACCTTGGCTCCTGGGTTGACCCGACCTAAAAGGAGTACAAGGTAAAGTCCTTGGAAGTAAATGCGGCTGGCATGATGTTGATCACATCACCCATCAAGTGCTGATTGGTCTATAAAATACAGGTCTAGCACTGTATCCCCAATATGCCCATGGGTGTGGAAGAGAGTCCTTTACTTTACTCTATTAGACAGATCGCACTGACAATTTCTTCTTTTCTCTGCCTTTTGACCCCTTTATGGTGCACATATGAATTAATACTGACATAGTGTGATCATCATCATTAACTCATTGAGTCCCAAGGAACGCATCATACGTTCATAGGTTCCTACCTAGAAGCCCAATGAACGCATGATACGCCGATTTTATAACTCTATTTACTACCCTCTGGGCCTGTGATGCTAAACCCCCTGGGACTCAAAGAGTTAAGTGCCTTGCTGACTGGCATAGAGGATCATGCCTCTCCACAATCTGCATTTCCAACAGCATGTATCACTTTGCGAGCTGAAATCCTGTCATGACTAAAGGCTGTAACACATCTGCTCTCGTTGTCTTCCTCAGCAGACCTTCTCAGTAGTCACAAAATGTTCCAGTCCCTTCTTCTCACAGCATAACTAAAACAAATAATGACTGCCTCTTTCTGATGTTTGTGATAATTTGTCTTCGAGCCCTCGCCTCTCTCAAAACATCTGGATTGCTCAGTTTTTGGCTGATCACTTCACCCCCCTCCCCTGAGGCCTCAAGAAATTATTTGGCATATTCATTTAATGTCCAGGATTCATATCCATATGTTAAAACTGTTTCTACATAGTACACAAGAAAGGTTAGCTAGTGTGATACACTGTTTAATCAGGCAGATTTTTACTTAATATGTGTAATTGCTTGTTTTCTTCTTCTTCTTAGCGTTCACTGGCTGTAAAATGTGGACTAAGAATATTTTAAACCTAAAAAAACAGCAGAAACATGGACTAGGGATATTTTAAACAAAAATGGCAGTTGAAACATGGACTAAGGTTGTTTTAAACATAAGCAATAGTTGAAATATGAGCTAAGAATATAGGACATTAAAAAAACAAATTGCTCAAACATGGCTAAGAATATTTTAAACCTAAAAAAACAGCTGAAACAGACCAAAGAAATTTTATACATAAACAACAGCTGACTTATGGACAGGATATTCTAGACGTAAATAACAACTGAAATGTGGACTAAGGTTGTTTTAAATATTAATTGTTGAAGCACAGACTTAGGATCTTTGTTTACTTAATATTGTCTTTCACAGAGTAATTATTTTATACCTAGACCATGGTTTCTCAAATACGACCAGGAGAGTTGGGTTCTTGTCCACAGCTTCATCAAAGTTCTCAGTAGTTAATGTTAGAACAAACTCATCTTCAGTCTCATAATCGGCTGAAATGGATACATAAATTCTTTGTAAGAAACTAATCTGAAATTCAGAACATAAATAAATAAATGTGTTTAATTTTCCATCATCTATATCTGCAGAATTTCAGCTTATCGCTTGTACAGGAATTATAATGGTCTTCCATTCTAATAGAATGGAAGACCATTATAATTCCTGTACAAGCGATAAGAAAAAACCTACCACACACTCCAATTATAACCTTATCATTTAGGTAGAACAGGGTTAATCAATAATGAAAAAAGTACTGATTACTCTTGTTGTTTCTCAACATAAATGAGTTAGCAGACAGACTTGCAAAAAATGGAAACAAAGGAGAAACAACACACCCAATAATTGTCATTACCAGAAATCAGAACACATATCAAGGGAAAATAAAAGGAATTGTGGAGAGAACAAAATAACAGAGTCATCCACAGCAAACTCAAGAGAAAGCAACATACAAAAATTTTCTGTCTATGAACAGGACACTGCAGGCTCAACTACCACATGCATAAAATAAAGATTGTACAGTCCCCAGAGAAGCGATGGCTAAACAGTTAGAACACTGGGCTCTCATGTGAGAGACCCGGGTTCGAATCCTCATAAGGCTGGGGATTTTTTTCTGTCGGGTGCAAAATAAAATCCTCACCTGCAGAGTCATTAGCTGTATATCCTCAGGCTCAAAGACACTCCCCGCCCCCAACCGCTTACACCGCAGAAGTGGTATATAAAGGCAGTAATTGGCAGTACAGTCCCCACTAAGACTTTACAGTCCCCACATTGTGCCTGTTGAACAGGACCACAAACACCTGCGCACATTCTGCGGACCTGCCCACTCTACCTGCAACTTCGAAAAGACACCTGGCCTCAAGAGCAAAGTGTGCAAAGCAAGCTATTGGAAACCACGAAGGATTTGCTGCTGATATGCGAGTTCATAGAGGAGACCCACCTGATGGTCTGATCTGAGCATATGAAACCGAAGACAAAGAAGAAAAAGTATCATATTTTACGGCTCTCCTGTAAACTACGGCCGGTAGACAACAGTAGACGGCCGGTTAGTCGGAGTTCTGTCCCCTGGCTGCAGTGCTATTACGGACTGGACAGGAGGAAATGAAACAAATGACATAATTACTGTGTGTTGGCGATAGACAGCGTGCACTGCCCTGCTATGATCATATGATTAGGGTTAGGGGTAGGGTTTGGGTTTGGGTTAGGTTTAGGGTTGGGGTGCAGGTTAGGGTTACGGTTAGTGTCACTGCATCTCGTCTTCGCACAAACTCAAAGTAGCAACCCAAACCCTAACCCAAACCCTAAACCTAACCCACACCCTACCCCTAACCCAAACCCTAATCAAAAGATGACAGTAGGTCACTGCACGCTGTCTATCGCCAACACACAGTAATTATGTCACTTTTTTTGTTCCCTCTAGTCCACACCGTAATGCGTCGCAAGAAGCGGTAATTAAACACGGTCGCTAATTTGAGTCGCAGCGCGGGGTCTGCAAGGCATGTCCACCTCACTTTGTTTTTTGATTTGTGCCTTCTCCAGTCCGTAATTGCACTGCAGCCAGGGGACAGAACTCCGACTAACCGGCCGTCTACTGTTGTCTACCGGCCGTAGTTGACAGGAGAGCCTAATTTTCTTATATCACACATACACATTTTTTAATCAGCATAAACTTTATGCAGGGCTTTTTTCGGTTAGTTTGCTGAGGTATGCAGCACTGGGCAATTTTTTTTTAAATTTATTTTTTAGATTCAGTTATTTTAGTGCTAATGCAACTGTCACTGACGTTTTGTAGTATGCACTGGTATCCTTTTATTTTAAATCTACATTCTCTGATGATTTCCAGCATGTTTTTATTACAAAAAAAAAAAAGCCCGGGTTATGTGACATGAGTAGCATGCCAATCAGAAAGCACGAGTTATCATGATGCATAATGTATACAAACAAACCGGTTTCTTGAGCATCTGCGTCGTCGTGTTCACAGAGGGTAAAAGATAATGATATCAACAACAGATATAAAGTGAGAGCACACCGCTGTCGTCCTTCCATGTTTCACTTCTGCTAGCTACTTCGTCAACTCAAACGAACGACACACCGGCCGAGAAATCAACATCCGGGTCACAGGTCAACATTTGGGGGACACCAATAAAATGAAATAGGATGAGGTATCTGTGAGGTGTTAGGCTTTTTTATTAATAAACCAATATGGCTTGACTATTACATTTATGTCATTGAAATGCCTAAGTCTGATTTACTGAAAAAGGACAAGAGCTTTTTCAGGAGCTATTTCGCGCATTGGTATTAAAATGATTTGGTATCAGCCAATAATGTTTGGACAAGTAAATTTAGCATTAGCCACGTTGAAACTGGAATGTGAGAGCAACACCATCTGTTCAGATAAGGTAAAATGAACTTGAAAATGTATTGCGATGGCAGAAAGTTGATGCCGAAAGAGATTAGAGGTGGCATGGGGAGGAGGACATTTTACTAAGCTATATTAAAACAATAAGGCAGAATGTGGTCCTGATATTACTTCAGAAATTCTGGCTCTCCTCTGAATAACGGCCACATATTATAGCGGGGCTACACTAGATGGCTGGGACTCACGAGCAAAGCTGCAAGGAAGCGGGAGATACTCTCGGCGGTGGCGGTAGTCACCGGAAGTACACAGTTTACGTGTGATTGAGGCCCTGTCAGGGTGTGTGTTTTTTTTTTTTTTTTTTTGGGGGGGGGGGGGGGCATAATATGTGGCCGTTATTTGGAGTATAGCCGAAATTCTCAAGGCAGTGATGATATAACCATAGAGCGAGTGATAAATGTGTTTAATAGAAAAAAAAAATCGCAAATAGGTGGGAAAACAGAATTGATTGTTAACATGTCAACAACATCAAAAGTAATCTTACTGACTGTAACAACAGGAGATGAATTACTCAGTTATAAGTAACGTCCAAGACGGTTTGTAGAATAATTCTCAATAAATTATATATAATATACAAGAAGAACTCCACAGGAGAGCATGGACGGCAAGGCTCACCCAAAAATCAATAGAAAGATGCCAATTACTTCCTATACAATCTCAGAAGGTGGGCCGACCTAGGTCATGACTCCAGGCCTCGATCTTCACCTGCTGCACTCATCGGACTCTCGGACAGAGACAAGACGATATGATGACTTTGTAACAGGTATTGTGAGATTGGCGTTATATCGTTATATTAATTAACCGCCTACCTTTACGACCAGAGCTTGTCAACGTCTGGCTCATCAGACAGACCTTAGACTTTGGTATTTGGCAGAGATACACTGGCAGACACTTCTTGGACACTTTGGCTCTAAGGGATAAGAAGCTCCTTTCCACTAGGAACTCGTACCAGTCTACGGAGGCCCACCCCAACGACGTTCCGTTGCGTCCAGAGATAGCTCGAAGCCCTTTCTGCTGCTTCGCCCAGTTGTTTTAGTGATCGTTTACTTTTGTTTCCTCTCAAACCCAGCTGCTTTAGTACATTGTATGTGGAAGTGGAGACAAGACCTCTTGCGTGAAGATTTTAACTGAGTACGCTTCGTCTCTCCTCAGACCGGCCAGGAGCTCACATTTCTTTTCGAGCTTGTACATGTGATTTTCTTCCACCCGCGACTCATACGGCACTGTCAGCTCTATCAAGACGAGTTAGCGGCTCCCCCTCCCCCCCCCCCTCCCGTAGAGTGCATAACTATTTCTGGTCTCAGGCCAGTCTTCCGGATTGACTCTGTGTACTTTTCCAAACCAGGCAGGTCGATAGCCAGTAGCCAATCCCTCGCACAGTCAAGTATTGTTGGAGTGTGTGAGACCTTGTTGACTTTATCTTGGAGAAGAAAATCAACACAGCCTTGAGAAAGTGGATTGGAGCACCGCCTTGTCTGACCGACGTGGCTCTGTATTGCAAACAGGCTAAGCTGGTACTTCCGTTCAAATCAATAACCGAAGAGTTTAAAGTCGGCAAGGTAAGGTTCGCCATGCTTTTGCGCGAGTCTTCAGACCCAAATGTCATCGCTGTCCAGCCCGCTCTAAAGACTGGGCAGAAGTGGAGGGTCCTCGATGCGATGGAATTTGCTCAGAACGCACTAAAATTGAAGGAGATAATGGGATACACACAAACCGACCGTCGAGGCCTAGGGCACGGCAAAGTCAATTGGTGGTCAAAGGCCTTAGCCAAAGAGCGCCGAGACATGGTAATACAAACGGTGAGGGACAACGAAAACGAGGTTCGGGTCCAGAAAGCAGCCCAGCAGTCGCAGCAGGGCCATTGGGTCAGCCTGGAGAGCGCATTGCCAAGAATACTCATATGGGGTGAGATCTGGCGGATGACCCCGCTGCGACTGAGCTTTATCGTTCGTTCGGCGTACGATGTATTACCGTCCGGTGTTAACATGGTTAAATGGTCTGCGACCAACGATCCGACTTGCCCGTTGTGTAAATCGAAGCAAACTCTTGAGCACGTCCTGTCCGCGTGCAGGAAAGCCCTAGGTCAAGGCCGATACACATGGCGACACAACAAGGTGCTAAAAGAGTTAGCAGCCGTTGTCGACCAGGCTAGAATGAGGGCTAACGCCAGAGCCAGTTCTAGCATCGTCCCCATTCGTTTCCTCAAGGCTGGGCAGGTTCCAAAAGGTAAGGTCAACCAAAACGCATTCGCTCCATCTGTGCTAGACTCTGCGAGGGACTGGTTACTGGCGGTTGATCTGCCAGATATGAATGTAATAAAACATCAAGACAGAGATCTTTATTTAAATAGAAAAAAAGCTGGACTAACTGGTCTTCTTAATGTCCATACCATGTGGCGTTGGTAGACACGTCTACCCACAACCTTCTGCCCCATTTACTTTCAGTCAACTCTGACAAAGATGATCCTCCATGCGATGATGTCAAACTGTCCAGCAACTTTTCTGTCGATCTCCCTCTGTCTACCCTCTCCTACAACGTTCCTACTGTCACGATGTACTCCAGTTTTCTCCTTCTCATCACATGACCAAAGAATGTAGATTGTATCTTTCAGACTTATTATTATTCTGGCTTATTTCGTTCGCTCTCAAAGTTCTACATTAGTGATTATATTATACCATTAAGTCCCTTCTTTTCTGAGCAGGCACCAGTTAAAGAATTTTTATTTTTTTTTATTTTTTTTGTTGTAATTGCCTTAGTTGTTCTCCGTGTTTGCGTTCCATACAATAGTACCAATTTAACATTGAATTTACAAATTTTAAGTTTAATATTAGTTTAAATTTCTTAGTCGTGGACTGCGCTTGGTACCAACCAAAGGCTGGGTCGACCTGGGAGCCAAGGTCGTAAAAAAAAAAAAATCCGGCCCGTCAGAACCTGAATCAAAGAACCCCTCCCCGATCCGCAGGCGAACCTTTAGCCGCTACATCACGGCGACTCCCTATACCAGCCTGCCGTTATCGTAAATCTTTCAGTTGCGGGAAAATGAATCTTCAAGTGGACACTGTTTGAATCTGAAGAAATAAAAATTATAACACTAAGGAAGAACATCGACCCCCCCCCCCCCTTTTTTTTTCAGGATACTCTGGATTGTATGTTAATAAGTTGATAGATTGGCTGCTGTCCCTTAAGTTGGCGGTGGGCTACTTCATGATAGAGCGGCCAGGGATCACGTGGAGGCAGTTGCGGTGAAATGCCAAAAAGGACTCAATGCTCTCAAGATTATGACAGCGATGGACATCGAACAAAGAATGCTGTTCACAATGTTTAAGCATGTCGTTCTGTCAGTGATAGATTATGGGCTTAGAATGCTTACCATATTAAAGAGTCAGCTGATAAAACTTAAACGCATACATAATGCAGCTATGCGGGTAATTATGGGATGTCCAAGAGATACCCTGGTAGTATGTATGCGATATATACTTGCACTGCCTACTATTGCAAATAGGTTCAAAGTTCTGCAAGCAAAGTCATACCAGTGTAGCTGCGGACAAGAGGCACCTCCTGCATAAAGTCCTAGATAGAGCTAAGGGTCATAGACCGAAAAGAGGAAAGAATTGGATGGCGCAAGCTGAAGACATAATTTGACATGTGTGCAGGTTTGATAAATTTGGGCGAGAAGAAGAGTGGGTCAAAGTGTCCGATCAGGTTTCAGTCTTGTGTAGGGTTCTGATCACTTTGTTACGTGAGTGCAGGGACTGGCCAGCTGGTGCTGCAGAATAAGAAGTTCAACAAATGGTTTATGACTATTCCCGCCCGGGTGGTGTGATTGTCTATACAGATGGCTCTGTGTTGAGGGGCAGACGAAGTGCATGGGAGTTCATAGCGAAGGCGAAAGGGTGTCGTTTGGTGCAACAAAGCCTGACATATGATATCACAACGTCTAGTTTGAGAATGAAGGTGGAGGCAGTCACTGCTGCCTTCCGCAGCTGGCGTAAGAATCAGCTTTACACACATGTCGTCATAGTAACTGTTTCAAAGATCATGGTGAGAAAGGTGGAGACGGGCATACTCCGTGTAGAGTAGCAAGCATCACCTCAAAGGTCCCGGGTAGTTAGCATCCTTTGGATATTTTCTCCAGTTCATGCCGGTGAGTTGGGAAATGAGCAGACATATAGATTGGATGGTTCTGTACCACTTGGTGGTGAACTGATGTATTACAAGCTGGATGTTGTAATGGCCCTTTGGAAGCGAGTGAACAGTGCCGAGGCACGGATAGATCATTACGGTCTGAGGAGAATGGCACTGCGATGAGTTACAATGGGATCTGGCCTACGGTCGACACTCAGGAAAAGCCGAAACGGATATAAAATCAGACAATTACTGGTACTATCGGAATTGTAACTCTTCGCTTGCTGCTGAAGATAGGGACAGAGCGCTTATGATGTCGATTCTTAATTCAACATTAAACAAAATAGAGCGAATGTGGTACAGGCTCTCTTGGATTAAGTGGACAACAGTGCAACAGTATGAAGTATTCATATCTGCATAGACTGATTGAATCAGGAATGAGCGAAGAGAGACCATAATTTATCGAAAGCGTGGATAACGTCTTGAGGCTGTGGATCTCTTCCAT